CCGTAAATCTACGGGCATTCCCCATTGGCGTATATATCCGTATAACCTTTCTTGATACTAGGTAACACGCGACTATCGGACGAGGTAGAAACTACACAATACATACAAAACACTGTTATCTAACTTTGTCGCGTGTTCTCAAAAATGAGAAAAAGTATTCTACGTGAAATATATATATATATATATCGAATCGCAATCAATCGATCGATCTCTCTCAATCGACTTTACTTTTTTTTTTTTTTCTTGTTTCTTCCTTACATTTTTCTAATGACATGACATTTTAATTTGTACAACAATGATAATTGATAAGTACACTTTAAACAAAAAATATATCATTCAGATCGAGCATATTTTTAAAAACGAGATTAATCTTAATTGTCATGTTTCGTTCGTTTATTAGAATAATGAAAAAAAGGCAAATAGTATTAAAAAAAAAAAAAATGAATAAAACCATGCCGTTACCGTATGCCGTCATGGACGATCACGAAGCTGTATAAATAGAAGTCATAGCTCATTTGACAAAGAAAGAAAGAAAGAAAGAGAAAGAAAGATTGTGTATATGTGTGTGTGTGTATCATTTCTCATGCGTATAATCGTGTGCACAGTGACGTGCATAGTAAACGTGCGTTGGACGTCGAATGCAGTCCAGTGGCATCGTCGTTGTAGACGAGTGCAGTTGATGGCAGTGCTAGCTGCGCTCGTCACATCGAAAGCCGGCAAAAGCGCGTGCATATTTCTATCTCTTTTTCTCAACCAACTACTACTACGTTCGTAGTAGACTGAGAGAGAGAGAGAGAGAGAGAGAGAATGATCACTAAAATACACTTTCCTTATTTTTTACTTTCACAAAAAGGAAAATTTTTAGCGAACCGTTTGGGCCTTCAACCTTTTCGTAAAGAAAAAAAGAAAAAAGTAAATAAAAAGAAAAAAGGGAGAGAGAGAGAGAGAGAGAAAGAGAACGAGAGGAGACGACCAGTTTTTAGTTCGAAGTACGCCAACAGAGGGAGAGAGGGGGAAAATAGTATACACACACACAATATATATATATATATATCTTTCTCTCTCTTTCTTTTACTTTGGACTTCTGTGCATCTATATCCCGTTCTTTTCCCCTTCCCCACGCCTCCTTCCTATCATTTCTAACGTACTTTCCCCCACCCTTTGATCTTTCTTACACGTTCACTCATTCGTTCGTTCGGTCGGTACGGTGTCGCGACTCAGGCAAGCGTGCTCCTATGTCAGTGCGATTGTAACTTGCACCGAGTGCGGTATTGGAGGAGAAGAAAAGCGTGAAAGGGAAACGAGACATGCGAGCAAGCATGGCAGCGGATTACGACGAGTGATATACCCTCTCGACGGACGCGCGCGCGAATTTTCTCGTGTGTGTGTACCGAGAGAGAGAGAAAGAAAGAAAGAAAAAAAAAACCTTAAAGGGTGAAGAAGTGGAGTTTCATTATTTCTTTACCTTTTATCTGTTTCTCTTTATCCCCCCCCCTCTCTCTCTCTTTCTCCCTTTATTTCCCGGCCTGTTTTCATTATCCATCTCTCTCTCTCTCTCTCTCTCTCTCTTTCTCTCTCCCTTCTTCTTTCTATACAGTCGAATCTCTTTTGGTTTCTCGTTTCTCCCGTTTTTCTCCCCCCCTCTCTCTCTCTTTTTCTTCTTCTGTTCTGTTCTCTCTCTCTCTCTCTCTTTCTCTCTCTCTCTCTCGCTCTTACCAACGGGATATATATTACTACTTTATTCTTTATTCTTTCGCGATTCTTCTCCTTCTCTACACACGCCCGTGTTACTCTCTTAGCGGCGCGCGCGCGCAGCTGCGCGCACTCTACGAAAATAGAACTCTCTTATAAACGTTAAAAAAGAAGACTCGAAGGAAAGAGCAAGGAGAGTACTTATAATACTTGATCGTTTAGAATGTCGCGCGTGTCGCTCAACAAGTCGCAGTACAGCACGTACGGCTCGCGTCGCGTGCGAAAAATCAGCACGGTATGTATCAGAATGAGTGTTACCTTATTCCCAAATCCAATCCTAACCCCCCACCCCCACCCCACTACCTATTTCTTCAATAATAACTTACCAACGTTAAGATGATCACCAATTTTTGATTGATTTTTATGTTTTTTCGTCTACCTTTTAAACATACACACATACACATGCACACACACACACACATGTAGAGATTGCATCTTTCGTCTTCTTTGTTTCTCCGCGAATCAAAAAGCGGGAACACGTGACTTAGCCTTGACAGTAAACGCACTTTAATAAATATACTTTAGATCATCGAATACACACACTCACTCACACATACATATATATATACACACACACACACAATTCACCATTTTGTTCTAATGTTCTTCTTTTCTTTTTCGATCTCGAAAAATATTATTTTTAAAACTTGTTGAACATATTTAAATTTTTACGTTTCTCATTTTATATCGCGAATAATAATGCAAGGATGGGGTTGGGGAGTAGGGGGGGGAGAAGTAGACGGCGGGCATTTTAAATGCGTCAACGAAAACGACAAACGACAAAAGAGTAGAAACAATTTTACGAATTCTCGTAAACATTCTCGTAAACTTGACGAAAAATTATAAACTTTGTTATTATTATTATTATTGTTTTATTTATTTATTTTATGCGCGAGGTAATTTATATTTTATCGTCGTTTTTATTTTCCGCGCGTTTGCGAGATGAATAAAGTAAAGGAATAAAACAAGGTCGGAAGCTTCGTGCCTCTCGGCGTTAGGTGGCGTCGTAACATTGGCATTTCTAATGACAGCAAAACAGCTGATCGACGACTTTGTCTGCCTGCTGCGCTGTTGATTGTGTATTGTATGTGACCTTCTACTACTAAAAAACTTTCTTACAGAGTCATTCGTCACACACGAATCGTTTAAAGAACTGTTTTTTTTTTTTTTTTTTTTTTTTATTTTTCTTATCTTTTTAT